TGTTTTAAAGCAACTATAGCATTAGTATGGTTTAAAGGGCCAAACTCAAATGAAGACTAGGCTTTTCTTTCTTCTTTTTCTCTTCTGTCCTGGCTTTCCAGACCTTAATGAGTGGTACTTGCATGAAGCCAATCCCTAACTTCAATGTTTTAACCATTTCATTTTCCTAATATATATTATAATCTTTTATATGGGGACACCTGGGTGGCTCAGTTGGTTAAGCATCTACCTTTGGCTCAGGTCATGATCTCAGGGTCTTGGGATCAAGCCCCACATCAGGCTCCCTGCTCAACGGGGAGTCTGCTTCTCCAGCTCTCTCTGCCCCTCCCCTCATGCTCTGTCTCTCACTTTCTCTCTCAAATAAATAAAATCTTAAAAATCTTTGATATACATATTGTATTTTATATATAAGATATTGGTCAACTGTCAGTATTATGGGAACACATCACTTTCAGCATAAATGCTTCTCTGGCAGACAGGCTCTACCCTCCCCCCGCCCCCATTTCCTTCTTTAGTTTTTGTACGGCTGGTGTCAATGTAGGTGGTGATGCTTGCTTAGATAATATGATCATAGTTATTATAGTAAACAAAGGTATACCTCACTTTTCCTATTCTTCTCAATTGTGAATGTTAGATGTATCCAGTTAACCATCATGTATAACAGTTACAGCACCCCATGTGTATGTACATTCTGAGTGCCCTGGTTATTCTGTGCTATAGTTGGAGTGGAATGGAAAACCAGACTTCCAGTCAAGTAGGAACTGAGTATTTAATAAGGATCCTCAGGTTCATTTTTACCAAAAACCAAACCAAACCAAACCAAACCAGAGTGCAGTTATGGGCAATTAGTAGCTTTTTGTTCTTATTGTTCTGATGTTACTGCTCTTATTCTGTTAAAATTAAACTGAGTTTATTTTCTCTTTGATTTAAATTTTCTTTCTTTTTGGAAAGAATTTCTAGAATGATGAGGATGAGAAAAAGTGGTCTCTCATGCTTGGATTGGAGGAGAGAGAAATTTTGTTTAACAGGCAGATTAATATAAACTTCAAAAGAGAAATAGCAATAAAAAATCACTTTAAATCAAGATAAGAATTTCTTAGATCTGATGGAAGTGGTTTCTTGATAGTTGAGAAGATACTTGGAAATTTTTGTTTTTACAGCTTGAATGTGGAGCTGGTCATTAATGGATTAGAACCCACTGAATACAATAAATATCAGTAGTTCATACCAACCTGAATAAATAAATGAATAATAAATGAGGGAGAAGGGACAGCTTTTTTTTTTTTTTGTAAGATTTATTTATTTGAAAGTGAGAGAGAGAGAGAGATCACAAGCTGGGGGGGGGAGGGGCAGAGGGAGAAGCAGACTCCCCACTGAGCAGGAAGCCCAATGCAGGACTCCATCCAAGGACCCTGGGATCATGACCTGAGCTGAAGGCAGATACTTAAATGACTGAGCCACCTAGGCATCCGGGACAGCTCTTTCTTACAGTAGAATTCTAATTAACAAATACAGAATGAATGATGGAAATAGAAAATCATCATTAAGCAAATATCACAGTAATGACTATTGTAGGCAAGAATTATCAATAGATACAATTAGTGGAGCAAAGGTATGATGAGAAATAGGATATCTGCAGAATCTCAAAATGTATTCCTACAAGAACAAGATACTTGCTGATTACAGGGGGTGGAGAAATTTGGTAGACACCACCGTAAGCAAGTTAAAAAGTCAACATTACCAATAATGAGATGGGTGTCCTCATGGACTTCCTGGATGGCTCAACATCACTTCTGTGATATTCTTACCAGAACTGCACAGCCTCAACCTAATCATGAGAAAGCATCAGACAAACCCAAATCGGAGAACACTGTAGGACATAACTAGCCTGTACTCTTCAAAGTCATGAAAGGTCAAGGTCATGAAAGGCAAAGACAAACTGAGGAACTGCCACAGACTGGAGAAGGCTAAGGAGACTCGGCAACTAAATGCAAGGACGTATCCTGAATTGGATCTTGGACCAAAAAAAAAAAAAAAAAAAAAACACAAGTAGGACAATTTTTGAGCTTGGAATAAGGCTTGCAGATAGTTTGTTTTGTATCAATGTAAATTTCATTATTTTAATTCTTACCTATGGTTATGGAAGGTGAGTTGGGGAGAATGGGATTTAAGAACTCTACCCAAGTTTCACAATTCTTTGTCAGTCTAAAATTATTTTAAAATAAAAAAGTTAAAAAGAAACGTTCTGATATGATTTTGAACAATTTGGAATTTCTTTGTTGGCAGGGAGAGAATAGTTAGATATTGCAAGACACCTCTTTGTAATCTCTTTTGTTGGAGTTCCAGTTTTGCAATCAGCTTGAGAGTCTTTGTGATCGTTTTGGGTTTTGTTTTGTTTTGCTTTTTAAAGCAGTAGCCCTTTAACCTGTGATCTAATTGAGCCTTCAGTAATCATCCTAACACATTTATTTCAGGTTTATAATTATAAAAGACCTTGAGCAATAGTGACTTAGCTCCAAATGGCAGTGCAACTGGGAATTTAATACTTTGGATTGTCTTTTTTACAAGGTCCAGCTTTCTCTAAAGCCATGGGTATAACAAACATTTCAGAGAACTAGTCTAATCTGTAAAAGCCCACAAATGGTAAGATCAAGGAGTCGATTCTTTTTTTTCCCAAGGAGTAGATTTAAAAAAAAAAACAAACAAACTTCATGTGTCTTTATTGCCTTCAGGGTAATTTAAGTTCCTTCTCTGTCCCCTTTCCTCATCTGTCTCCCCAAGTTTCTGGCCACTGCTGTACCCTTGGTGCATTGTCAAACAGAATATTGAGAAGGTACAAATCTAAGTGGTGGGGTCTGGGAAGAGAATGGTGGTGATGGAATTAACTTTTTTTTTTACCACAAATTTCAATAGAAAAAAATTGATTTACCTTATTAAGTCTTAATTCCATGAAAATCTTTGATCTATAAAAAATAATAAATAGGAGATTTAAAGTAGAGTACGAGACCAAAAAAATTAGAGACCTCTGACTTCCCTGTTGGCAGTGATGTGTCCTCTGATGAAATTTATCTTTCTAATTTAAAATTAAACATCCATCTCTACTGTTGTTGACTTTTTACTGCATTAATTTGTGTTACTTTTCTCATTAGCATTTCATCTGTGTCTAAAGTACTTTATCTCCTGTTTGCTTCGTCTTCCATCAATTGTATTTGACATAGCTGATACATATATTGCATGTCATTGAAAAAAAATCAGAATTTTTAGGAGTTGACTTTGAGGGGTTTGAAGAAGTTCTTCATCAGTCCAGAAACTGTTTTAGATAGGGGCAAGTAGATTCCAGGACTGTCCCATAGAATCAAAGGCCTTTTTTGGGGGGGTGGTTAAAAATAGATATACAGACTCTCACTGAGGTCTCTCGGGCCCAGATAACATCATCTCCAAGTCACCTTGGCCCAAAAGTTGAAGTAGTATTAGATTATTTGTTCTGTACCACAATGAAGCAATGACTAAGTCAGGAGTTGAATTCAGATTCCTCAATGCCTCCCATCCCTTTGGTTACCTGTGTCTTCTGTCTCCCAACTCAGAATTTTTTTTGAGACACCTTTGTCTTTTCGGAAAGATGTCCAGATGTTATTATAACAGATGAAACAAAACTGGCTTTCAATGTAATAAAAGTCTAACCACACTTTTTAAAAAAGTATGGTACAACACACATCATATAAAATTAACCATAATTTTTTTACAGTGATTGCTCAGGAGCTTTATTTAAAGTGCCAGATGAAAATGCAACCTTTTCCTCCCAGCTGGAGAAAAATGTTATAATTAAATTAAATTTATGTTTTACTGTACTTGGAATGGAGAAGACTGAACTTGCCTGTTTTGCAGTCCTTCATACATTTTAGCTAACTTTGTTAAATTCATTTGCAAAATAAATTGAATTTTTTTTGTGAGGAGGAAGATTCGATTTTGAATACCTTTTAAAATGTACTATATTAAGTACAATTTTTAACTGCCTCATTTTTTTACTCTTGTTTTCTTAAAGCAGACTTCCTTTCATTAGTTGTAGGAACTTCCGTCTAGATATATTTTATACCAAAGGATATGTAATGCTTTCAAGTCAGAGTTGCCAAGCCTACGCCTGTGTCCTGTATCAACTTGCTAAATGTTTTGAAGCCTAATATCAAATCCTTGGGTCTTCTCAGTTATAAATCTTTTAAGCAACATCAATATAGTTGACGTCAATGGAACTATTATTTTTAGAATGCCAGTTTAAGAGCAGTTAGCTTTTCCTGCATCTGACTTTGAAATGCAATTTAAAAGGATTAATCTGAAATGTCATTTGGTTAGGTCTGAATCACTGTCATTTACTCGTAAACCTTTGGTTCGTATCACCATCTGCAATGGAAATAGGAATCGAGCCACAAGAAATATCTTTAGCATTTCTTTTCTACCAAGACATGGATGGCAATGGGGGACAACCAAGGGCCCCCTGAAGTGATTTTTTTTTCATCCAAAGAAATGATTTTCATGTTGCTTAGAAGGTTCTATTCCTGAGGAAACTAATGAGGTTTTCATTAATTCCTGAGGCACGATCTACCTGACCTTAGTTTTTCAGAGTTCTAAAGCTAGAACCATAATCTTTTAAACATTTCTTAAATGAATGTGGAGTGATAAAGAAGCATCTTGCATATATATACACAACTAATTGGGGAAGTCCAAAAGTTTGGTTGTGTGGTCTTAGCAGCTGCTGAGGGTAAGAATGGAATTTGACCAAGGAGTCCTGTTGTAGGTGCTTTAAGTGGCGACTCCTAGCCATGGCGGAGGACTGGGGCTGCTGTAGGAATTGCTGCTTGTCTTACCACGGGAACTGTGGGGAGAAAAAGAAGTTCTCAAACCACTGGTATAAAGTAAGCCAGACAAGAAGGAGAAGTCCTAGGAGGCTGGAACTCTGGGCTCCAGTGAGGACAGAGACCTCATCTTGTTAATATCTCTGGTTTCAGATTGCCTGCCTGGTGCCTGTGGATCAGTTTCAGCTTTACCAGCGGTTAAAATTTGAACGAGGTACGTATGCCCTCTTCTTTCTGTCCCCACGGTGAGTTGCGGCTTTCTGTGTGTCATCTTCACACTCACCTCCATAGAAGGCTAAGGAGGCTGTGGGCTGTCAACAAAGCCACAAGGGCACTCCGAAAGGGGAAAAACTGTAATTGCAAAGTAACATTTCCGCTTTCTCAGCCACAGGCAGAAAAAATGCAGACTAGCAGGAAATAGAAGCTTCCTTATGTTGGCTGTTGTATATTTTTGATTTGGCTCATGTGAGAGAAGTTCTTCAAAAGTTGGATAGTTTTACAAAACAGTATGTTCCTTCAAATGGGTTTTACCACCGGCTTTCCCACTCTCGAAGATCACTTCAAAACCTTCATCGACCCAAACATTTTTACTGCTGCTTATAATAGTCACCATTTATTCTTTTGATACCACACCTGTAATCACAGTGATGGCTGTGTGTGTCATTCTAATACAATTTACAATCTATCAGGCTCATTTTCTTTCTGACTTTGGCCTTGGGGTAATTTATATAGCTTTTCTATTTGTACTGCCTATTTATCTGTAAGATTTATTTATTTTTTGATCCTTTACCAAGATCGTTTTTAAGGAGCCATTTCCCTCCTGTCACACTCTGTACATTCTTGAACTAAATGGTCTGTTTTTCTTTCTTTCTTTTTTTTTTTTTTAAGATTTTTAAATTTATTTTAGAGAGAAAGAGAGAGTGTACGTGCATAAGTGGGAGGAGGGGCAGAGGGAGAGGGAAGGAGGAAGCAGACTCCCTGCTGAGCGCAGAGCCTGATGCAGGGCTTCATCCCAGGACTCTGAGGTCACGACATGAGCTGAAACCAAGAGTCGATGCTTAAACTGACTGAGCCCCCCAGGTGCCCCTAAATGGTCTGCTTTTCTATATCTAAGAAATAGGAGAAAATTGTTCTGCTAGAACGCATTGTCTCATTGCGTATATAAAATAGACTCTCATCTAGCATGAACATACAATTTTCTGATTGCTAACTTTTAAATCTGGATTAGTAAAGTCTAAGACGTAAGAAGGGGGAAAGAAGAACATTTCTCTCTCATGTGTGAGTCTTTCATATGTGGCCTTGCGTATCTTTGCTTTGATGCATTATAAATTGATCAAATAGTTTGACTCATACATGGAATTTATTTTTTTCTCACAAGTTCTGGGCAGATGTCCCACTACAGATCCCATGAATTGATCATGGATTTTATTATCCCTATTTTATAGATGAAGAAAGTGACAATTGCAGAGGTTGAGACCTGCCTAGCATCACATAGACTGTGTCTAAGCTTCTACATCTGTATGAATAATTCCGTATTTTTTTTATTAGGGTAACATCTATCTAAAACATAAAACTTACCATTTCACCCATTTTAGGTGTACAATTCAGTGGCCTGTTGTGCAACCATCACTCCCATCTATTTATCACCCTAAGCAGAAACTATAATTAAATAATAACTTCCCATTTCCCTTTTTTCCCCAGCCCCTGGTAACTTCTACTCTGCTTACTGTCTGTAAATTTGCCTAGGGTAGGTATTTCATGTAAGCGGACTCATACAATTTTCCTTTTGTGTCTGGCTTATTTCACTTGGTATAATGTCTTGAAGGTTCATCCATGTTGTGGCATGTATCAGGATTTCATTTCTTTTTATGGCTGAAGAATAATATTCCATTGTATGTATATACCACATTTTGTTTAACCATTCATCTGTTGAAGGACACTTGGGTTGTTTCTACCTTTTGTCTATTGTGAATAATGCTGCAGTGAACATTGGGGTACAAGTATTTTTTCGAGTCCTTGCTTTCAGTTCTTTTGGGTATATACCTAGGAGTGGAATTGCTGGGTCAAATGGTAATTCTATGTTTAGTGTTCGAGGAACTGCCAATTAGATATTTTTACTACTGTAAAGTATGGGAGTACATTACGTTTGGAAGTATGTTAAGTCTGGTGACCATTTGGTTCAACTCCTTCATTTTATAAGAAAGGAAACCAAGGTCCAGAGACATTTTGATCTGAGGTGATTCTGGAAGGCAATTTGTATTTCTTCAGTATCAATTCATGTACTTCTTCATTATCATCCATAATAAAGAATTATTATTAGAAAATAGGCATGCCAGAGGGCCTGCCCCCAGCTGCCCAGGACTCCTGTTATCTCTGTGCCTAGCGAGCACCCCAGAAGCTGCTGCCCCATCTAGGGATCATGATGGGCAGCAAGATGGTGTCTGCCAGCAGGGTCGTTCAGGTAGTCAAGCCACATACTCCATTAATAAGGTTCTGTGACAGAAGAGACAATCCTAAACCTAATGATAGCAGAAGATTTGAGACCAGCAGGACTACTGTCTCACTCTTCAATTTCACAGCAGTCTAAGGGAAGTAAATCCCCAGATTTGCTGATGCATCAGGGTCCACCAGACACTGCAGATATGATAAAAACATTACCTCAGAAATACAGAAGGAGACTTGTATCTCAAGAAGAAATTGAATTTATCCAACGTGGAGGTTCAGAATAATCACTTACAGTGTGGCTGCCGTTTGTCATCAGACACAAGACTAGTCTTTACATAAAGGACTTCCAAAATGGCACAAGTGAAATTATACAGTAAACAATTTGAATAAATACTCTGCAAAAAAAAAAAAATCTAGAAAATTTAGATGGACAATTGTATCTCCTAATATATGTGTCTTGGTCAGCTTCTCCAAAAGCTTACCTAATTGTTTATATGCTTATTAAAGTATACATTTTTAAATGTTAAAAAAAGAAAATAGGCATGCGAAGTAAGAGTAAATTTAAATTAATACAGTGTTACATAATGGAATTTACTTGATTGGCATAGTCTTTATCTAAATTGTATACCTCATTTTTACTTGGTAGACTTCCTACCTCAAACTCAAGACTTATTAGCTAGGTGACTTTGAGGTCTATGCCATGAAAGGTTTTTTGTTTGTTTGTTTGTTTTTTTAAGATTTTATTTATTTAAGAGAGAAAATGAGAGAGTACAACCAGGGGGGAGGGGCAGAGAGAGAGGGATAAGCAGCCTCCCCATTGAGTCGGGAGCCTGATGCGGGGGGCTCGATCCAAGGATCCCAGGACCCCAACATCATGACCTGACACGAAGGCAGATGCTTAACCAACTGAGCCACCCAGGTGCCCCTGCCATGAGAGTATTTTATGTGGAACTGTTTAGAATGGAATCTTGGAATGCTTTAAATACTAAGGTTGTGAATGAGCTAAATGACTTAACTGGTGGAAAGTAAAACTCACTGGCGGGACTCTCAGCTAGAGTTGTAGAGATTGCTGTGGCTCTGGAAAAATGTAGAATCAGATCAGTAGCAGCCCAGTATCTGAATTCCAAAAATTTTCATTAGTTTTGCCCAATTCTTATTGCTTACCAAGTTTTTAGTTGTCATCCGTGTTTTAATTGTGCTCTGCTTTATGTTACATATATGGTTAGTTTGCCTTTTATAGCTTTGTTTTCATCTGAGTCTTCATGGGGAAAAATATTTTGAATAGGAATCCTAGAGCCTAAATCATCACTGTTTACATAAAGTGGAGAAACGGCATTTGGCATCAATCGGTTATTCTATGAATCCACTCTCCTTCCATCTGTGACTTTCCGTTGGCTACTACCCTGTTTGTGGCTTTCCTTTTCTGTGTCAGGCTTCCAATATTAACAAAGAAAGAGAATACTAAGTTTGGCATGTGTTAGTGATCACTGCTGTACTTTCTGCTCGTTCTCAAAGCACATGATGCCTGATGATTAATGTTAGAATTTTGCTTGTCTCTTGAATCTGCTTGCCCAGAATCTACTTTTTCAAAATAGTTTTTTTTTTTTTTTTTTGAAAATTGGGTCAAGATTTTCCATCTCTACTCCTTAAGCACTTTTCCTATTTTTTTTGTGACCCTGTTTTACTTATAATTGCAAACTGCTTCCGTGTCTTGGTAGGTCAACGTGTCTGTTCTTGGATATTTGTATTATCATATAGCTGCTGGAAACTCCTACCAATGGTTCAAGTGTCATAGTGTTCTCCTTGGAAAAGAAGTGAAGTAAAATAGGAATTTATTTACCTGTTATCTGTTAATCCTACTGCATTCACTCACGTCTTCAGTATCTACTTTTTTGTGGACTATCTATTGTGTGCCAGGTGCATTTCTAGACTCTGCCGTAAGCTGCGGCTTCATCTTTCCCTGAAAGCCGTCTCTTCTCAGCACTTGTCCCAGCCTCCTTTCACTGTGAGTCTCAACATTTATGATATGGCTCTTCAAGTTTCATCTCGTGCCTTTATCTGTCCCTGGTGAAATGCGCCCTGCCCCTCTTTTGCGTCCGATCATTGAAGGTTTTATCTCACCAGAGCTCCATGTGTTATTTGGTTTCTTTTGGTGTTTTTCTTTTTAGGGCTGTGGGATACTTCAATGACCTTATTGTCAGTTTGGTTTGATTTTTTAACACCTCCCTACCTCTCATTAGGTATCTTCCTTTTCATAGTTTCTGATCACAAGCACATTCTTATTGTGTGGGGGTGGGTGTGAGTGTGTGTGTGTGAGTGTATGTTTGTGTGTGTGTGAGTGTGAGTGTGTGAGCTTGTGCCTGTTCTCTTTTTGAGCCTGCTTTTCTGGTGTTTTGCGGTAAATGTGTGACTAAGTCTAGGGTTTGCTTATGAAGCTATTCTGTGCTTCTGGGTGCTAACACTTTCTCCTCAGCTTCCTACTTCCTCTCCTTTACCATCAACTCTTTCTTGTGGGTCAGTTCTAAAAATCTAAAACAGTACCCTCTAGACATTTCAGCTAAAAAACGAACGTATCTGCAAGAAAAGACATTTATCATCAGTAGGGTGACATTTCTAAAGGGGACCCAAATGATAGGCACAGTGTGAAGTGTTTGCCTCTCCCTGTGCGCACTTCATTTCCTCATCTATAAAAGGGGCATAATAATGGAAGGCTTATGCTAGGGCTGTCATAAAGAGTGAGTTAATATTGTGTGTCTGTCACCGTGCGGA